TTTTTTTTTTTTTTTTTTTCCCCCTTAAAGGGCCAGAGCTGCAATGGGCGAGGTAGCCATGCGGGGGCTTTGGGAGTGGAGGGGTGGTCAGGAGGCTAGTGCAGAGCCTCCCATGCGGCGTGGGGCGATGGGGGACAGCAGGGATGTTCCCCCCGCCTAGCAAAACCCAGTAAGCACCGGGGCTTTTCTTTAAAGGGCCAGGAGCTGTGGCAGGCGGGGCAGACGTGGGGGCCGGGGAGCTTCAAATCAAATCTTTTCCAAAGATTGGGAGAGCTTCAAATCAATTCGGACCTTCTAATTAGTCCCGATTCAATTTGGATTCAGAGATTTGGCCACTGAATTGGACCGAATCTCCTCTGAATCGAATCACCATCCAAAGCTTCCCACAGCCTTCCTTCTTACCCTCATTTCCAGTTTCGGAACTTGCCCCAAACTGGCCACACCATATTTTTACCGTAGTGTCTGTCTAATGTTCCTTTCTCTATGCAGATGAAATTATTCATTGCAATGTTTCACTTCATTATTTACTACAGTTAGATGCTGCTCTTTCCAACAGAGGCCCATAGTGGCTCTGTGTCAGATGCGAGATTGAATAATGAAATTTCAGCTTGCTATGTTTTTTTATTGCATATGCTCCTTGGACCCCTTGCAACCAGTAGGAACAAACACTTTGGGAAAATTAATCCTTGGAACTCTCATATGTTTTTTGCTTTTATTTTTGTGTCTCTTGTTTCCTAGATACATGTGAAAGCACATTTTGATTATGATCCTTCTGATGACCCGTATGTCCCTTGCCGAGAATTAGGCCTGTCTTTTCAAAAGGGAGATATACTCCATGTGATCAGTCAGGAAGATCCAAACTGGTGGCAGGCCTACAGAGATGGAGATGAAGACAATCAGCCTTTGGCAGGCCTTATTCCAGGTAGAATGCAGCATTATTGAAAATCTAGATCTACAGAGATTTTGAGGTGCCATTGTTAAGAAGATGGCTCACTACAGCAGCTCCTGTATCCTGAGAGACCAGCATTTTTAGACAGTCAGATATTCTGAACTGGGACTGGTTAAATGTCTGCCTGTTCAAACCTTTTTTTGAGCAAAAACCAACAACTTTGATTTTTTGTTAATCTCATAGTCAGTAACAGTTACCTTTTCAAAAAGTAGATTTTAATTGTTTTTACAAATGGGTGTCCGTGGGAGTAGACATTAGCCAGATACTTGCTCATTTCAGCAGAAAGCAGCTTCTAATTTTTCCCCTCTTCCTGGAGTTCAGCATTCCCTCTGCTGGTTGCTACTTTAGCAGCACTACACTTTAACAATAGTTTACTCTGCCTTTATTTGAACGAACAAACTTAGACTGACTAAATGATGGAAAAAAAAAAAAGCAGACAATATTCTCCTTTGACTGACCTTTTCATGAACCCAGTTTGACTCAAGTCAGGGCTGATTTTGTAGCACTGGAATATAGTAAGCATTTTTTTATATGCAAACTGGGCATATTTAATATAGAACTATTTGAGAACTGAAGCCTCAAAATCCCTCTTTTTATAATCAGGTTTCAACTCAGAACTTCTCAGATTGGTACTCTTCTTTGAGGGGTATGTGTTTGGATCACTACAAAAAATACTACAATTTTCTGAGTAACTGTCTTCTGGAAGTGTCTGTATGGTATTTCCCAAATAATTGAATCATTTAAGAATCACAGAAGTAAATAACCATACTTCCAATATTGTACATTTTAAACAATACTATTTTAGTTGCCGAATTACTGTGTTTCATGCAAATTCATCATGTTTTTACTTTTAATTTTGAAAATGTATCTTAATACTTCATTTATCATGAAACTGAAACCATAGAATGTTGTTTTCCCTAAACCCCATAACATTTAAAGTTTTCTGAATTTGTTGTCATACACCATGTCCTATTTGAGACTTGTCAAGTTTGGAGGTACGATAACAGTAATAAAATTGAGATGTGATACTTACAAGAAAGTTGGTATTTTATTTGTCAGTAGAAATAAGTATGGCTTCCCATTTTAACTGCTGTTGTACATTTTTTTTTATTCATGAAGGAAAGAGCTTTCAGCAGCAAAGAGAAGCAATGAAGCAAACTATAGAAGAAGACAAGGAGCCAGAAAAACCAGGTTTGGAAGTACACACTCTAAATCGGGGGTGGCCAACCTGTGGCACAGGCAGCCTATGTGTGTGGCACAAAGCAGATAGTAGATAGGACAGGGAGCAGAAAGTATAGCAGTAGATTGGTTTGGGGAAGGGAATCAGAATGGCATTTGTGGCACACCTATCTGAAAGGTTGGACTGCTCTAAACAAAAACTCTGACTGTGATGTCTGGAGCCTTGTCTAGATTGAGATTTATAGGGAATTCTCTCCCTGTTGGTCTTGCACAGGTGGGATAATTCTCTGAAATTCTTGTTTTAGGTAAAGATTTGGGCTGCCAGCTGGTTTATGTTCTTATAGCCAAGCAGATGTTGAAATTGTTCAAGAGAGCTTAGAGGTTGACCCTCAGTATTTCTAAACTGAATTGATTCTACTCTTTCTGGTTTGAAGATCAGAACTACAATAGTGAGAGACAAGTTTTAAAAGAAAACTTATAAAAATCTGTATATTCCACCTGTGATCACCTTAATTAGACAAAATTGAGTGAAAACCATGTCAATTCAACCATCAAAGGATGATTGTAACAACTGCCCTACATGAAAGGGCAGGGAGTTTAAGAATATTAGAGAAATCAAAGAATATATGAGTTTATAGATAGTTGAGGCACAAAACAAGAGTCAAGAGTTGTTTAGTAGTAGGAAATGTAAAGGATTTTGGAAATGAAGAGGATAAGCAACAGGTTTTGTTGGATATATTGGCTAAGGGAGAAAGACATGTTAGAAAACTGCATGTTGTGGTTGGTGTTAGTATTGGATTTTTTTAGAGATACAAGAATAAGTTTTATATATCAAATTACAGAAAAGATATCTTATTTCTTAATTAAATATTAACTGCGTAAGATTTGAAAAACAAAATGTGTGCTTTTACTTTTTAGATATGCAGGAAGAGAAAATGCTTTTTTTTATTTATCGAAATGTGACTTGTGATTTTATTTTAACCAGGAAAGCTCTGGTGTGCAAAGAAAAATAAAAAGAAACGGAAAAAGGTTCTGTACAATGCCAATAAAAATGATGGTAAGTAGTCACCTTGACGTGAAGTGTTTACCATTGCAGAACAACTACAGAAAAATCATGGCATGATGTATAATTTTGGTGTAAAATGGAGGTTGTTTGGAATTATCTACCAAAATGTCCTGGACAGTCGGTTATGACAAACCAATCTATTATAGCATCTATAAAGTTGGTCTCTGTTATTCCTAATGTAGTAATCATTTCAAAGTCAATAAATGAGAATGAAACCATGCTTCCAGAAACAATTTCTTATAGTTAAATTTATACTGTATTCCTACAAAGGACTTTGGAATTTATGGTATACATTTATGTGGAGCAAAATCTGATAAAAATTCACATTATTGTCTATAATTATTAAGACCAGGAAATAATTGCCAAATGAAGATGTCTTTTGTGTTTTGCTGTAAATGTAGTAGGTTTATCAATAAACCCAGAGGTTTCCCAACCACCAGGCCCAGTACTGGGCCACGAAGGGTTGGCTGCTGGGTCATGGCACAGGCACCCCACTCAGACCCCTATCTGTCTGCCTGGGCGAGGGGCTTCTGCCGCTGGCAGTCTTGTGGGGTTAAAGCTGGGCAGTGGGGCAGCCCCAGGAGGGAGGTGGCTGGCTCCATGCACCCCATCCCACTCCTGCTGGTCCACAGTATAAAAAAGGTTGGGAACCACAGAGTCAACCTGGTGCCTGACATGTGCCATTGCTTGTCAGTTGGGCCTGGCAGTAGTCTGGCGGCAGCACTCTTCCTTACCACAAGAATAGAAATTGCTACACAGCAACAAATCTGAACAGATAAACAGAGTGGAGGTGAATTGGTTCAGATGTCAGCCAGAGGGCTGGTACAGTTCTCTCAGGCTCCTGGCACATATTCATTTAGCAGTGTAACAGGATCTGATCCCCAATTCCAGCAATCACACATCCTACCATGCCATACATGCATGGCAGGAGGCATAGTTTTTGGATCAGGGATCAGATTTCAGTCATGCCCTTTCTACTTGCTAGTGCAAGGGGAACCCAGGATCATGATCCTGGGCTCCCCCTGCACTGACAGGTTGAAAGCCAGGTGCTCACAACTCTACATGTGGGACTGTGTGGGTGGGCACCTCTGTGCCATGTGAGGGCAAGAGGAGGGAGCCAATTGGCTTCCCTCAACGCAAAGTTGAAGACCAGCACCCACAGTCCCACATCAGGCTCTAAGAGCTGCTGGGGACCTGAAACTGATGCCAGTATTCAGCTGATTGTTGGCCCTTAGCAGATTCAAGACCCAGGGCAGTCGGGCTGGGGCTGACAGTCAGCTGAATGTCAGCCCAGGCACCAGAAAGTCCTGGGGTTTTAGAAAAACCTGTGGTTTTGACATCCCAGTGTCCCAGGACATCTAAAAACTGTGCAGCCCAGCTTCTCTCAATCCAGCATTTTAAATGCCTTGCCCCGCAGCCTCTGTGGGTACTGCAGGGCAAAGCAGTACCACTATGCCAGGCATAGTGGTTGCTGGGTCCCCCCTGCAAGGGAACTTTGCAGCCCACTCCCCTAGCAGCCCATTTTGGCATTGGGACCAGCGCTGTCCCAGTCCCCGTGCCAATTCCTGTCCTGATGCGAATGCTGATAATCAGCAGATTGTCAGCATTGGGACAGGGGCATGCTACACATTCAATTTATGGTACCATACAAACGAGCCACAAAGATGTTCCACATATGGAACATCTTTTGTGGCTGATTTGCCACTTTATGGTGCCATAAATTGGTTGAACTTGTAGCACTGTTACTAACATGTTAATCGCACCAGAAGTGTAATATGTGCTAGGGACCTCAGACTCAAGCATGCAAAAGGCACACACAGTGAGAGGGGAAGAAAGAATGGGCTTCCTTAAGCCCATTATAACTAGGAAACTTGTGGCAGACTTTGCTGCTGTATAACAGCAATAGCATCAGCTGTGATAGTGCTAATAACATTTTCACTTTTTTTTCCTTTTCTCTGAAGATTATGACAATGAGGAGATTTTGACCTATGAAGAAATGTCACTGTATCACCAGCCAGCAAATAGGAAAAGGCCTATTGTTCTGATTGGTCCACAGAATTGTGGCCAGAATGAACTGCGCCAGAGATTAATGAATAATGAAGCAGATCGTTTTGCAGCTGCAGTTCCTCGTAAGTCTACAGAGTGTGGTGTAACACACCCCTAACCTTGCTGTAATCTGCAACTAAATAGTCTCAGGCTGACGGTCAAGGTTAGGTATTTTGCAAGCTGGACTGAGTAAAGTTAGCACTTGCTAAAGAAAAAATACTAAAGAAACAGTGAAAAGAAATCTTTTGAAAGAGAATGGCTTTGGTGAATCTGTTACTTACCTTAATGTTACTTACCTTAACAATAAAATGTTAAAGGAATGCTGGGGCAAGTCCATGTTTTTCAGACAGAACATAACATTAGGATCACATGCCCTCATTTAAAAAAAAATAAAAAAAGACATATTTCCCAGAACTGCTCTTAACCTAGGTGTCTGAGCTAAATTCCAATTAAAGTAACTGTACTGTACCTTCTTTAATTTCCCCTGGAGTTTCCATTGAATATATAACTTATGACAAATAGTGGAGGGTACCACAGTATTTCTGCATTCTGTTGGTTTTCAGCCAAATGCAGCTGTATGAATGAAGTGATTTCTTTTTTAGTTGGTAAAGTGTTTTTGGGTCCTCTGGGTGACAAACTCCACCTGTGAGATTGGTCTGCAAATTCAGCAGATTTATATGTCCAGAGATATAACTGGAGATATCACTGTTGAAAAGAAAATGTGTGCCTGTAAGTAGGTTGGCTAGCTTTCTGGCTTCTGCGGGCAGCTTTTGCTTCCTGATGAGCTCCTCAGCTAGTCCTCCCACTAAAACACAGTCTTTAGGAAACAAGGAAACAAAACTGAGCCTTTCTATACTGTCCCAGGCAGTAGGAGAGGAGCCCTTTGGCCTTTGCCCAGCACAGCAGCCTTGGCCTCTCCTTATAGCAAGCTTTTTGCTCACATCTTGCTTCTTCCTCCCTCTCTTCCAGTCTGGGAGCTTCAAAAAAGCTCCTAGCAGAACACTCCCTAGCTGTGGGTCATTTGGATAGGCAAGCTATCTCAAAAGGTTTGCTTGTTTCCTCTTACAGGGACAGACCGTACTGTTACACTGCCCATTTTTCCCCACTGGATAGTGCACAGTACTGTCGTACAAAAAAACTCGGTTTTACTCCAAAGCTATTTGGAATTTCAGAAGTACACTTTTCATAACTCCTTTTTGGTTCTTATTTTCAGATACCACTCGGAGCAGGCGAGAGAACGAAGTAGCTGGCCGTGATTACCACTTTATTTCAAGGCAGGCCTTTGAGACTGACATAGCTGCAGGGAAATTTATTGAATATGGAGAATTTGAGAAGAATCTTTATGGTACCAGCATAGATTCTGTGCGACAAGTAATCAACTCGGGCAAAATATGCCTTTTAAATCTTCATACCCAGGTACAGCAAGAGCTGTTATTGCACATTGTTGGGTTTTTTGGCCAGTGTTGTAAAAACTGAAAATATAAAAGTGCTGTGAAGGTATATGAAGGAACTATATTTGGTACAAGTAATTCTGCACTGGTGACCTGTGTGAAATGAACTCAATTTATTAGCCCATGTATGTTCAGTCTTTTTAGACTGTGGGGGGAGTAGGCCCTTCTAAACAAGGTATTTGGTAGGCAGGAAACTGAACTGATATACACAGCTTGATCTGTGGATAGGGGAGCTTCAGTCTCCAGAACACTGCCCTTCTTGCCCTTTTTCCTCAGAGTTCTGTTACTCTCTGGACTCTAAAGTAGTTTAGGGCTATACTTCACAACCTCAGCTTTGTGTTGTAAGGTAGTGCCTAGGCAGTTCCTACTTGGCAGAGCTACAGAAGAATTAAATGCACCAATGTTCTTTTAACTTTATATATAAACATCCAACTTACCAAGTCACAAATTTTACATTTAAAATGCATCCTATCCCCTAAAATATACATAAAGGCAAATATCTATCTTCCATTGCTTGTGCTCCCTTAAGAACTTTAGTGACAGGCAACTCCCGTTTAGCGCTCTTAATTGGTTCCTGAAAAAGAGTGTTAAGCAAAATGAGCATCAAGTGAAACTGAAAATATTTGATGATACAAGATAGCAACCACAAGTGTTGTTAATGACCCAAGATGGTGACTGTGAGGATTATAATGAAACTCATTGAGTGCTAAGTGAAATCAGGCATCAATTTAAAATGAGTGTTATAGCAAAATAGAGCTAAGTGAAACAGCGTTAAGAGGGGGTTGCCTGTACTGGTAACTTGTTAGCCTATGATACCTTAAAATTGTAGTGCATACTTGGAGAAAATGGTGCGTCAACAAACCCCATGTTATATAACGCGCCTTTCTGCCACAGTCCAGTGGAGGGTCATGAGTCAGAACTACATTGCTGTCATCATAGAACATAGGATTCACTAGTCATGGACCAGAACCTCTTTGTGTTAGGTACTGTACAAACATGATGGCCCTTGCCCCAAAGAGTTTGCAGATGAAGAGTAGGGATCTATGGAATGATTGAATAACTCAACGAAGGGAAAATTAATTTAAAATGACAGAGAATTTTGATTAGAAAAGTAGCTCTCTCTTTTGGCTGGTAATACTGGTTGCTATTAAGTAATGTATATTTTTTTTCAGTCTTTTTAATATGGTTACATTAGACAGAACTGGTAATTATTAAATAGCATGAAGAATTGCACTCTTTTATTTAACACTTTTGGACAAAAGCAAAAAAGATATGTAAGTGAATGTTAGTCATACAATTTTGTTATTATGTCAGTGTTATTTCACACAGTTACTCGGTATTTGTTAAATGTGTCTTAAATTGTTGTTCCTTGAACTAATTAAGTATGAACAAAGAAAAATCACAACTGTGTAAATTACTAAACAATAATTGTTTCTGTTGTTTCTTGTTTTAAAAACATATACATGTGAAGAACCTTTATATCTGCTTTAACTGTTTAAAAGGTCGTTTATGTTTAGCATCAGTCCCAAAATGTGTGTGTGCGTGTGTGTGCACACCATTCCACAGAAATGTAAGGGATGGGAAGAACTCAAAACAAGTAACAAAGGTTTATAAAGTCAACTTCATAATATCTTATGAGCCTGATAAGTAATCTCACTTTGCAGATTAAGAAACTAAGTCACAGAAGCAGAAGCCTTTTGAGCACCAGTAGTAGAATCCATTTCTCCTGACTCAGTGTCCTTTGCTCTTTCCATGTAACTCTGCAAAATGAATGTTTGATATGTTGCGAATGAACCTGTTTTGCCTTGGAAATAGTATATAACCTTAAACAGAAAAAAAAGTTAGTCATCATTATTTAAGTATGAATTTTTTAAGTACGTGATAGAACACACCTTACAACTGAGAACTAGATGTGGAAAAACTGCAGATGTAGCTTCAGGTTATTTTTTTGTATTAAAGACCTGAAAAAGTGTAAATTTCAGTCAGTCTATTGACATGTTTCAGTTCTGCCAAATTTATTTTGGTCAGGACTGTTCTTATCTTGCTAAAAGGAACATACTTGAACAAGAATAAATATTGGAGTTCCCTAAGGGTGAAAATACCCATCACATAAGAAATGGTAAAGTCAGTGATAATTATGGGCATCGTGTTACCAAGCAAGAATGTGGTTATTAGTGAATGCCACAAATAAAAATAAATTCTCAAAATTCATAGCCAGGTATATTAGCAGTAGAATTATATTAACATTTGATATTATATGAACTAGGTGTCATTGCCTACTTTTCCTTTAGAAACTTAGTTAATAGTATTTATTTTTAAATAATAAACAGCACAAATGTGTTTTTTCCTTCAGTCATTGAAGACCCTACGCAATTCTGACTTGAAGCCATATATTATCTTTATTGCGCCACCTTCACAAGAGCGGCTACGTGCATTATTGGCCAAAGAGGGTAAAAATCCTAAGGTAATGAACAGTAGTAATTTAAATATTTATTACAAAGCAGTTTGGGGCTTTGTTGGCAAGTGTGGAGCTCAGTTTTTTAGCACAACTTCAAAAGAATTCAGCATAAAACTATTGCTCATCATTATCTAAAACGTATATGAAAATTTGTGGTAACCAAGAGAATTATATTGTAGATATCTGTTGCAGTGGAAAGGTTAAACTTACTGAGATAAGCAGGAAGGTCAAAGGTCCACTTGAGCCTGTAGGCCCTTTGAGCTAGTTTTGTTAAGGCACATCAGTTTCTGTAGCCAACAGCGCAGAAGGTTAGCGTTGGTTCAGGCTGCCTTTGATTCCCCAGTCTGAATTACCCAGTTCCCATCAACAGCTGGGTCAGTTGGAGGTGGTCTTTATCATCAGTCCAGAGCAGAGCTTGGATTTGCACTTCATGAAGCCACAATGAGGTATGCTAACCACTCTGCCAACACACTTCTCAGTAAGACCATGCTTTCTAGGAACTCCTCGTTGACTACGCGTCTGAGGGTGAAGTTACACATCACACTTGGACCATACTAAGAACCCTTAAAACAGGAGCCTCCACACACCAAAGCTTGCTAACTTGTGCTGAGTGTCCTCTGAGCATCTCAGTTATGCCACTTCAGGCAAGGATTAACTCTGGGCCATGCTACCTAATTCATGTTAGGGTAACTTCAGTCTGCTCCATGGAGATAAAATTAGCAATCTACAGTCCTCCAGCATCTAAGGATGCACTGCTCCCAGTCTCCCCCTACCCCCAGAGCAGGGATAGAGCCCGGTGGCCTGGCTCCTAGCCATGCCTCTGCTTTCCAGCCATCTAGTGGCAAGTCAGAGCTGTGCAGGTAAGAAAAAGTATTAACCCCTAATGTGCAACTGCTCACAGCAATTTCTAACTTCAACACTGCTTAACATTCCACAGATTTAGTATGATCCAAGTGTAATCTGTACCTCCATACTTATGTGGGACACAGAATCCAAGTGGCCAGCTTAATATTTCTACAGCTGGTATATCTTTTTCTGTCATTTTCCTTGAGTAACAGAAATCTAAATCAAAACAAGAAATTAAGTATTGTACTATCTCATTCTCTGCCCACTGTTCTGCATCACTTGATGGCATCAGGTAGCTGGCAGTGACTTTCTTTGTGGCCTAAACTTCTGCCTTTTACCCTGGGTTCAGTTCCTGTTTTAGCTCTTTCATCCTTCCAGGCAAAGGGGTTGTGCTTTTAGGTATTTAACTCCAAAGCTGTAGGTGAACCAACATTTAAAAATATTTGGAAATGTGGTCAGCAGGCTTTAGCTACAGCTTTTGTACTCAAAATAAAAAATAAGCAAAGCGATAGAAGCAGAAATTCAAATCTGAGCGTAGCTAATAAAGGGCAGGTATTGATTGTTACTTCAGTTCTAACCAGTTGTCTTTCCTTCTCTTCCCTCTGTCTCTTTTTTGCAAATCTTAGGCTCCTATTTTTTTATGATTTTTTTTATGACTGTATATACCCCAAATATGCCTCAAAATGCCACATCATATTTGAATTGCAGAAGTAACTTAGTGAACAGACAGATAGGATGCTATTTTTGCAGCATTCAAACATTTGAAAGCATCTGTAGCTTGTGGTAAGACAAATATACTTTCCTTTGGATCTTTGTTTCAGTAACTTTACTACTACATACCACATCAGCCATTGAAAAGACATTCTAGTCCATTCAGTCTGGACTCAACCTACAATAGCAAATGCTAGTGCATGCCACTGCACAAAGGGATCAGTATGTGGTACACCAGTTGCATAACAACATGACATTCCTGAATGAAAATTAGGGAGCAAACTGTGGCTAAGCCAAGGCTTAGTATTTTATAGGCAGTCTATTGTTTTTTGAAATCTGATGTCAAATTCAGATTATCGTAGGACTGCCTCAGTTATTTATTTTAATACCTCTTTTTGTTTAATTTTAAACAATAAAAGTTACACAAAATATAAAGGCAATAAATAGTTTCAATTATAAGTATTTGGAGATGTTGCAAACACAGTCTCTGTGCTAAATGTTTGACCCTGAGTGGAAAGAATTCTGACTTACTTAAACAATTATTCTCCTGTTCACAATCCAGACTGGTTTGCTTTGTGATTGGACTCTGTCTGGTGGACATTTCAGGACAAAGTTAGTGAAAGAGCTCATTTGAGCAACATGAATTGTAGTAGAGCTGAATGCAAGTCACACATTGTGGAACAATGAACAAATTTACAAGAGGAGCATCTATTCTGGAATATAGTGGCAATGAAAGGAACTTAAGAACCATGATGAATAACCAGTGGACCAAGAGCATAAGCATCTGTAAACATGTCTGAAGTGAACATAAGCATAAGCATTTTTCCACATAAGCAGAAAAATGCCAAGTAGGATGATTATATCAGCTCTTTATACAGAAATAGTGGAACCATTACTGAACCACTGTGATCAGTTCTGGTGTCCACACTTCAAAAAGGATGTTTAAAAGTTGGAAAGTGTTATGAGAATTAACAGCTGAAGATCTGGAGGCATATCAGAGAGTGGCTAAAACTCAAACTTAAGTATTTTATCCAAGAGAAGGTTAAAAAAGTAGTGGCTTGATAATGTAGTATGAGTACATACATGCGGAAGTGCTTTCTGATGGTAGATAGCTCTTTAATCAGCAGAAAAGGCTTGTTCTGGATTTTCCATTCCTTGTAATCTTTAAGTCAAAATTGTATTAAGAGATCTTAAGCTGAAGTAGAGGTTATGAATTCAATGCAGGAATTAGTGGATATGGTTCTGTGGTCCAGGTTCTACAGGAGGCCAGACCAGGTCATATTGTAATCTATAAAAGACCCTTTTGACACCCTATAAAAGAGATTGGTGTGATATTTTTAGTCAAATTTTAATAAGAGTAGAAAAAGGAGAGATTAGCCAAAAAAAAGGCTTTTGATTTGAAACATCTTACAGATCTGTTTCTCTAGGCTCTTCCTCTCCATTCAATCTTTATTCTATCGTTGTTTCCTTTCCTTTGGTATTTTTCTTGGAAGTCAACAAGGCGTCCTCTGAGTAGTGATAATACACTTATTTCATGTTGGTGCAAGATTTTCGAAAGTTTGTGTATCTAGTTGAACACAAGAGCTCCATATAGGCATATAACAGTCTGGCCCTCTGTTTCAAAGGTGTATGAAGAAGACGCTTTTGGATTTCTCACAGTTTAAACACAAAGGAGTCTATTACAGAAATAAGGGGGTAAATGTTTCACTTGGCACCTAAATACCATTCAGAAAGTACCCTGACGAAAGTTTGTGCCAGGTACCTTCAGGGATATTTGTTTAAATAATGGATATGTTTTCAATGTGTGTTTTTCAGAATTAAGAAAAAGGAAATTACTTGACCTTCCATGGGAAGTTTTTGTGTTCCAGCAGGGTTTCAAAATGGTTGCGTAAGACCTCAACAGATCCATATCGGGCTGTTTCACCAAGCCAGAAGTTAGCTCTCTACAATAGAATAAAACCTGGAGACTTGATGGGGGAACCTGAAAGCTAAGAGAAAAGCTTTCCAAGCAATTTAAGCACATAGATTTCATAGACATTAGGGCTGGAAGGGAACCTCACGAGATCATCGGGTCCAGCCCCCACCCAAGGGGCAGGAAGTCAGCTGGGGTCAGATCACCCCAGCAAGATAAGCATCCAAGGAGGTTGCCCCCTCCCCTCCTTTGTGCTCCATGTGTCATTGGGTTTCTAAGCCTCCCCCAGGGGTGCTGGCTGCAGCCCAGGCTGGGGAAGGGGGCTGAGCTGTGCCAATGCTTCTGCTGCTTGGCACACCCTGCGATGGCATAGTAGACATGGGTGAGAGCTGCCAGGGCTTCATCAAGACCATGTGAGCCTTTGGTCCTCTCTGAATGTGACCCTAATGAAGAAGCACATCAGGCAACATTACCAGCCCAGAAGGCCTGATGGATGGACTTTTTTGGGACAGAGGCTATGTAGCAGCTCCTTGTCAGCTCGGCTAGTTTCAACCACCAAGCTACCAACAGGAAGCCTGGGGTGGCCCTGCAAAACACTGCTAGCATAGCAATGTGTATTGTAAAGCTAATTCAGTTTGGTTCTTCACTTTTAATGTTAGTGAATAATTTTCAGCTAGACTATACTAGAAGCACTTTGCCAGTATAATTACGTGTGTAATACTGTATGGCAAAGCAATCCCATTATGAATACATCTACCAAAAAGAGTCTTGCCAGCATAACTGTATCATACCAGGGCCTTTTGCTAGCCAGGCTACACCAGTCCAAGGGTCACTCATTTCACCTGTGATCAACCAAACCAGCAAACATATGCTGATTTTAAAATTGTTGTTTGTTCTCATTTACTTTCCCTCAGAATTAATCTTGTTTCCCACTGTTCTTGCATTTTTTTAATTGGCAAATATTGCATATGCACTAATAAGTTGAGTTGCAAGTCTGCTTGATGTTGCAGGCTAAGCCCATTGAGGGTAAGAGCTTGCCTAGGTGCTACAGAAAGTAATGTAGGAAGGAGTCACTACGCAGCACTCTTCCATTGACCCAGTCTGGTCTGAGGTACTGAACGTGACCCTTGAAGTATTAGAAATGCTAATGCTAGAAAATGGTTTTGTCAGATTCAAATTATTACATTTTCTCTCTCTTTCTCCGTTCCCACTGCCATTTCAGATGGATCTGGCGTTCATCGTACTCCTCCCGAGCAGTTACGCAGGGCTGATAATTTTCAGTGTCGAATAAAATAATTGCGTGCTTAGTTTTTTGTCACAGTAATTTAAAAAGCATTTGGGATGGATGTGGGTATATTTCTGGTGGTGGGAAAGTGAGAATATTTTTTGGTTACAAATTATTTCCACCTTTAATGGCCCAGTTGGGGATTACATAACAGGAATTTTTTTTTTGGTTTGACAGAAGTTCCCACTTTCCTCCTTCCCCTGGGAAATACTTGGGGTAGTGGGTTTTTTGTATTTATTTTTTTTTTAACTAAAGCCCAGCAAAGTTCAGGCTTAATCTGCAAAACTCTTGGGCCTATTTAAAAATCCCAGTTACTAAGTATTGTAGTGAAGTAAGTATTTGCTCTCTCGTGCAGTCTTTCTGGCTCTGGTACCTCCGCTTCCACTGTCTTGAAAATGCCTTTTCCATTTTCCCTACAATATGTATTCAGTGTTGAGATGATTCTTTCAGTTTGCCTTGTGTGGCTTTACCTTGTTTCTCATTACAGTTGTCTGGTCCATTCCCTAGAAATTTTCAGGGGGGTATATTTTAAGTGACAGCTGTTATCTTAAACTGTGGTGTAATACTTGTTGCATGTGTTGTGTTACACCTGCAGAGTTGTGGGGTTTTTTTCTTTCTGTAACTAAGTTCACATTTGCATATAAACAAAGTCATTGTGACAGTATTTCAATATCACTTGTTCCTTTTGTTGAAAGGTGGTGGACTTAGGAGCTTGTCATTGTTGCCCTTACTTCAGATGAAATACTTTCACGCTCACTTCCTTCAGAGGCAGTCGGATGCTGAACAGTGCATTGCAGTGTTCATTCTGTCTTTTTCTTTGCATTCTCTACAGATAGTTTTACTCAAAACTGCATCAGTTTAATGAGGCAATAAGACTTAGTGTGACCAACAGCTTTCCCTCTAAGCTGCACAGCCGCACAGGCACTCCTGACAGCGCAGCATGAGCATGCCTACGTGGCTGCTCACGCCACACAGCTTAGAGGGAACGCTGGTGACCAGTGGGGCTTCCTGACCAGTTGCTACTAAAGACTTCAGAGTCTTTTTAAAGCACATACTACAAACTTCCTTACATATAAGCAGCTCTCAAAACATGCAGCAATATCTGTTACCTTTCTTCCCTTTTAATGGCAGTTTGAATCGTATATTATAGTTGCACATTTCTGTATTTTTCTCAGCCTTTTGTGTATGGAATTTGATTTTTCTAACAGTTTGCAAGTTAGATTTGCCAATGTAATGGAGATCTGTATGGGAAATATAAGAACTTTTTTATGCAAGTCCTTTTGTGCTTACTTCAATGACTCTAAATGGAGGTGTGTGATATGTTTGGAGTACTTCAGTTTCTCTTGCATTCTCATTACAGCCAGAAGAACTGCGAGAGATCATAGAGAAGACCAGAGAGATGGAGCAGAACAATGGACACTACCTTGACACAGCAATTGTGAATTCTGATCTGGACAAGGCATATCAGGAGCTACTTCGACTAATAAACAAACTTGATACAGAACCTCAGTGGGTGCCATCCACCTGGTTACGATGAAAATGAACAATTCCAAGGGAGGAGTGAATCTCTCTCTGGCAATCTGTCAGAGTGAGATTGTGCAGATTGTAATATTAGGTGGCAGTGTGAGCTCTAGACCTCTGTGGTTGCACCCCTTGATAGTGTATTTGTGAAGAAACATCCATTAGGCAGCTTGCGAATAGAAAGATTAACTGAGTGTTTGAGTTTTCTTCTTCTCTTTGGATTAAAAGTGGAAACTGAAAACAAGCCAGTAAAGTTTCTAGACCTTAAGATATCCTTTCTATAAGCTGCTTTAGACATAATAAATGCACCTATCTTCTACCTAAAAATCACCTTACTTTAAAGAGATTTTAAATGTGTATATATTCAGTCCATATGGTCACAGTTATAAATATTGTTATTTAACACTTAAGTTAATTATCTTGTGGAACACGATGCAAGTTTGAGCATATACCTTTTGGGTAGAGGAATAATATACACAAGAAGCTATGGTTGTATTAATTAGGAAAACCTTCCCTTAAAGAAATAAAGGTGCCACTTGGGTCTGGAGCCTCCCTGTTAGGCTTGAATTTTTTTAAACAAAAAATGACATTCCACTTTCTAATAGCACTGTACTTTGATAAATGTGTATAATGTAAATATTTCACCTTCTTTGGTCTTTTTAGTCTAACTTTGTAAATCACATTTGACTGCACATTAACTTTAGGTCCAATGAAAATATACTGATCTTTTTAGATGTGATATTTTTATGGAATTTTTTTCTTTAAAGCATATCAATTGATTGGAGGGTCTTTCTTCCCCACAGATCTGTAGAGCTATTTAGAAGGCAGAGGTTATATTTTTATGAAAAAATAATCATTGTTATAAAACGCGCTGATTTATTTTTTTTCTTTTTTAATTCTTCCTCAATGTAAACAGTTCTCAAGTTTCTAACAAAAAGGTTACTGACTAAATAGGCTGATGTGATGAACATTGGAAGATTGTCTTCTATTTTTGTATGGACATGGTGGCTCCTTACAGACGTGGGGGAAAAAAAATGTACTTTCAGCTTGGTGTGCCGCACAGTGCATGCCCAGAAGAGGCATTTATGTTAGTTTGACCAGCTCACCTGTCTATATAGATCAGGCACATCAGCAGAGCTTTTTGGCACTTGAACCAGCTTCAGATAAAAGAACCAAAAAGCCCAAATGAAACTCCTGATCCATACAGACGCTGGGGAGCTAAATTAAACTAGTGCACTTCCTCTTCCAGTAAAGTGTTGTTGGCTTTTATTAGGAGAGTGGGGGGGGCCACATCTGTCAGTGGCTGGTATGTTTTGTTGACTGTTAGTTACTAACTGGAATTTAAATTTGCTGAATGTAGCTGCTGTGTAATGTAAACCAGTATTTAATTGACCAGTAAGTTACTGTTTTGCATTTGCTCAGTATTGCAGTAAAACTGAGCGTAAAACACTGGCAACTGACTTAGAAGTCGCATAGAAGGGGAATTTAAAAAAAAATGCTGAAAAAAGGAAGGGAGAGAAAGAACTCAAGGAACAAAAATGTAACATAAGGTCTATGTTCTACCCTGTTCTGCCAACTAAGATCAGAATGTTCCTACATCCTGAAAGAATTTTCTGACCTGTGAAGATTTAAGGGCTGCAGCTGTCACATCTGTAGCAGTGCTGTTTTAAATAGTGAAACTAAAGAGTATCTTGTTTTTGCTTTTGGATCACGTGAACAAACTTGAATGTGATTTTTTTTTTTTCTTTCCATTTTAGGCATAGCATTTCCTTGTTCCCTCAGTTAAACACTGGAATTACATCAATAGGTAGCTGAATTCAACTTAACTTTGAGGAACAAAGTTAGCTGGTTTTTGACATTGTATTGTGTATACTTTTATTAACAAATTTTAATTGAATATATTCAGGCAAAACCCTTGCCTTTTTATGTTCACAGTTGAATGAAGAGCTCTAGGGTGCATAGTGAGCAAGTTAATGTGAAAAAGTTGTTTCAAGTAACTTTCATAGTTAGTGGACTAACATTCTGTAGTGAACAAATACACGGCATTTTATCTTCACTGGCTAGAGACCCCTAGCAAGTCGACTGCCTTAGAGAAGTTATGTGCTGTTTAATAGTGTTCTAGAGCTGGGTTAAGAGAATAGTCTGTAGACAGGCAGCAAAAGGAAACTTTGAAAGATACTGACATAAACTTCCTGTCATATTAGAGCTGTATTCAGTGTAACGGTGACTGCCTTGATGCAATATTGCATGCAGCATTATGGCCATGTTGTCATACTGTTAATGTTTATGAAGGCTGGTGCATTTTTCTTCCTTTTGGACTAATAAGCGCTTTATTTTCTCTCTCGTGTTCCCCTGAATTTTGTGAGATGAAAACTTTATTAGATAAACAAGTTTCTCATAGATAGATTTACACTTTGTTGCCAGATGTTCAACTGTACCCACTCTTCATTTTTGTGTGTGCTCTTGTAGTTCACAATGAGATCAATTTATGGAAGTCAGAAGTTGGTAGGTCATAGTACCTAATACTGGCTTGGTCTCCAGTTGTGGGTAGGCTTAGGCAATGCTCAGAAGTAAAACAGGCTCTGCATTTTCCACCAGTTTTAGGGCTGGACCTTGAATTGCTTTGAAATGGAGTAAGAAAGCACTTTCTACCATTTTATCATGAAGGAAAAATGTATTAATTCCCTTTGGAGTTAAAGACAGTGGAACACTTCAGCATTATCATAAGCTTGACAGGGGAAGGTATTTTTTTTTACCAATCCGGACTTACTGAAAAACGCGTTTTGTTAGCTGAACTGAACAAAAGTATTAAGGAGTATGAATGTAATTGTGGCTTTTTAAAATAAGATGGGGACTTCATGCCTTAAAAATTAAGGTATCACTTAACTGTGGTTAGCCCCATGTTGTACTTTTATATATGTACCTGCACTCTGTATTTTCAGACATCATGAACTGCACACTGATGTAAAAAATGTAAAATATTTCTAGATTTAAAATAAATCACTGTACAATTTTATCTGATGCAGCTATACTCTCAAAGTTGTTTTTTTCTATATTAGCAAGTACTTAAGCAAAGACTGCTTTGGGTGTTGTGAATACTGTTACTTCAGCATTTCAGTTGGTTCAATAGTGTCACTTATCTGTGCAAAAAAAAAAAGCAGTGCTGGGGAGGGGAGTGAAGTGTCCTTTGGGCATCCAAGTAGGTAAAAGTATCAGCTCCTTCTGCAGCAGCTCATTAGAAAACATTTGAAAGGGAAGATCCCAAGCTAATGGATGAGTTTAGTCTGCTTTTGTACTTATTTCTCAGTAGGATTTGAGGGCAACAGCAGAAAGTCTTCCCCATGCCCTCATTATATTAAGGTTGCACTACCATGCACTCATGGTAGGGACTGCATAATGGAAGTTATGCAGTTCTGTACATGGTATTAGTCTAATTATCTTACACTGTTTTTGAGAGGACCCTATCCTCTTGCACTCCACAGCAGACTGGTTATTTGGCAGGTAGTAAGTTTGTACACTGTCATAACCCTACTCTGAACAGCCTTATTATTATAGGAGGAGGATTGCCTAACAATTATTTTTTTCCTCATAGGGAAGGCTAAAACAAGTTTGCGGGGGCTATAAAAAAAAATACATCCCTTGAACAAGAGCCTCCCTGACATGCTAGGTGTTTGGTAATTAAGTTTTTTATTAGTAATGCAGATAAAAATGCCTATTTTTAGCTCTAGGGTCTGGACTAGCACTTGAAGAAATGAACCCAGTTTTTTTCCCCTCAGCCATCTGTTGAGGAACATTTTCCCCCACTACATACACATATATGTATACTCTTTTTTTCAGAAAGAGTAAACTGTCTTTGAAGTCTACCTTCAACAGCACCTTTCCTGAATTTCCTTACAGAACGTAGTACTCAACCTGCATATACTGGCTACAAGAATTAGCAGGAAAAATGTGAGAACAACCAGTAGTGAGCTATGCTCAAGAAATGACGGGCTAGGAAGGTCTACTACAAAGTAACCTTGGAGAAACCAGTTATTGAAACAAATGGCACAGCCCAGTCTCACTCCCTTAACCAATCTCTGTATTTACTTCCTGAGGATTGGAGGCAAGTACATTTACTGTCACAGCAGTGCATGCAGAGCAAAGGAAAAAATCACTTTCATTTAGCCCAGGTATAGCTTGCTCACCCAAAACCAATCCAGCAAGGATTGGACATCCCATCTCAGTGATAAGGCTGGTTCACTAAAATAAGTTGCCCTTTCAGTTCAGTTTTGAGTCGCATATAAATGTTTATCCCTTATAACTCTGTGTTTACTCCCAAGTCATCTCACCACAGATAAGTGAACATAGAAATAGCCGTGTCACGGTAAACCCCAGTTCAAGATGAGGGTACCTTTGCAGATTCCAGGATTGTCAGGTTATGACTTTCTGCTAGAACTTAGTAAAGCATTATAAAGCACCACAGACATTTAAGATTCTTTTACTGTTATACAGCATAGACATGCACATGAATTGGCAAAATCTAATCACAAAATGAAAGATTTTTTTTCCAGGCAAATGGTAACAATTGTGCAACAAGTGTGTTCAATCATAAGGCTGTGGATTTCACTAACAAGTTTAGAAAGCTGGGTTATTCACACTCAACATCTTCCAAGTTGTAGAAATACATGTTTAACTTTTTTCAAGTATCATGCATTTTCTCCTCCCCACCAGTTATTTTCCACCATCTAGAAGGAAAGCAGAGGGACTGACTATTCTGCATTTTACACATGCCCTGAAAAAGGGAGGGGAGTATCTATTTCATTCTTAATGGGAAATGAATCATCAAATGCGTGTGGTAGACAAGTACTAGGCCACTATCATACGCCAAAAAGCTTTTCTTGTAAGAATGACAAAAGACCAAACTTTACCCTCAGCAGTCATCTTCCCAGAATTCTAGTCTCCCAGGAAAAAGCCACAGTCCAATCTGATTACAAGGCTAACACACCAAATGAAGAGCCATGTTTATAAATATTTTCCAGATTAATATCCCAGTGAACATACCACCCTCTGTGTCCCCCTGTACAGAGCTACTCAAAGAGGAGGTCCTCATCCTTTTCTTCTACTAGCAGGTTGGCAGGCTCACGTTCCCCACCAGCTGCTCTCCACAACTCCCGCTCTTTTTCTGACTTCTCTTTCAATATTTTCTTTTTCTCCTGGATTTTCTTTAACCTACAGGAAGAGAGTCAAGGCGATTTACAAAGTCTTCACTGGTAACACACCTGTGCTAAATACAGTAGGACAGAATATTAGTCTCCTCTTGCCACAAAACACTCCATCCCTCTGTAGTTTAGCACACAAGGAAGGAAGAAACAATGAGGCTGGCAGCCGACAATTTAAAAATCTAATGTTGCCACTTTGACTTGGGGTCAGTTTCCCCCCTCCCTCCATCTGTGGATTAAGCTACTATTTATTTACCTACTTATTTGGGGCTCATGTTGGTTATGAGGAAATCCTAAAAACTTCACTGATCGCTTACAAGGTAGAGTTAGTTGACAGACAAGACAAAAAGAATGTAACAAGGCAGGAAGAGAAAGAAGTACACAGGAAGATTACAGGTACAAAGGAACAGAGAAGGGGAATGACAAGTCAAAACAATGACTTTGGGGAGCTTGGTGCTTGGGAAACTTAATATTAAGAGGTTTAGAGGAATAGAAGAAATGGCCCAAAAAACAGATTTCCATTAGGTCAGAAAGAAGCTCGTATTTGAGTCTGCTACCTCCTTCTTATAGCCCTGCCAAATTAAAAATGACCTTCCCAAGATCCTCATTTCTGAAAGCCTTTAAAAAACCTGCAGATGCATCCAAGGCATAGTTTGCTTCTTGGCTTAGTACACCAGGTGTTAGGGCCATGTTCAGCACCACCGCCTAACAGCATGAGAGCATCTTGAAGAACAACTTCCCCTTTAATTCACTAGCACATATGGCAGTAAGCATTCCTTCCAGAGAAAAAAAACCATCCAAAGCATTTTTACACGTCTTAGTATACAGAAGGTGCTCTCTTTTTGTAAACAATTACTCCTCCGCCTCTCTCTCCATTCTATTACTCCCGTCCCCACTTTTTGTGTCAGCTTGAAACTAGGATGACAACCAGCATCGTATGTCTAGACAGGCGTCTGCAAGCAAGAGCTTCAGTACCCATTTAGGATTCCGATATAAAGAGCCGAAGCTTTCATTTTGAAGGATGCCCACAGGCCAGCCTCCACCAAAAATCCTATCAAAGTTCTAGAAGAAGACTACAGAGGCACAGTCACGCTGCCATGCCAGAAGTAGCCTAGAACATCCTTTGGTACTGTGAAAAGCCACCAACCTTGCTCTGTGTAACAAGTGTCCTTAGACCAAGACACTGTACAGCAAGGATCCCTCCCAAGGACTTAGCCCCAGGATGTAATGTCAAGACCCAAACACTGAGGCAGGGCCTTATTTCTTCCCACCCCAACCACCCGGCTATGAATCTCTTGTGCAGCTTTGATGAGCTGGAGCATTCCTAGACATAGAGGACAGTTCTCTCCTTAACTCCCCCTCACCATTTCTTTATTCTACAAAGAATCAGTTTGGGGTAAGGAAAGGGAAGTGATAGAACCAGCCTGGTCCCAAACACCTAGGTGTCATACCTGTAGAACTCCTCTCGCTCTCTCTCGTCCAACTCCGTGATGATATAGGACAGTGTGCGCTCAATCCTAGGAATAATCACTGAGAGAAACAAATAAGGAAGTCACTGCACTGCTGTCAAACTAAACATGAAAACGGAGCTGATGGAGTGCAAAGACCAGATTATGCATTCACCAAGTCAGCCCAGTGATCAGTTTATCTGGGGAAGGTTTAAGTCAGGGGTCAGTAAACCTTGGCACGCATGCCAAGCATAGCACACAAGGCCATTTTGCTCAGCACGCCACTGCCAACTTGGGCTCTAAGCAGCTGCTGCCAGCCACAGAGCTCAAGATGCTTCCAGCAGGTGGTTGGGGTCGGCTGTAGCCGGGAGGCTGCAAACAGCTGCTCCAGGCATGTCAGCACTCCAGCACCTTCAAAGGTAGACCTTGTGGTTTTTTCAGCACTCTGGCCAAAAAACGTTACCTACCCCCGATTTAAATGCTTTCATCAGAGCACATGGCCAACTAAATGCTATTTTCTTTAACCTTCTGTTCTACACCAATGCTCTACCACAGACAGCTGTAGGGGGTCCAGTGGAGATAGAAAAAGAAGTTCAGTCTGTTTTTCCTTAAAGAACTTTTTTGCATGCATCTAACTTAAAACTTGTCTTCAGATAGCTTCAGGTCACTGATCCTCCCTCATCTTTAGACTGAACAATCTGCTTTCTTTCCACATCCCTACAGTCTTAAACTGCAATCTCCTCTCACCCCTTCCAAATTAAGCTAAAGAGGTCAGATTTTTTCATTACTAACAGTATAGGCTTCCAAGAACCATCCAGTTGCTGCAAACAGTGACCAGATATGCTGTATACTGGGGCACTATGCTGTGGGAGACGCTTTCTTGAGTGAGGCGGAATGAGATGTGCCAATAATACTTTGATCACTTGGATTACAGGACATATCTACAAACGTTGAGGTATTTAACAATACTGGACAAATTACAGTTTTGGAAATGGCACTCTGCTATCAGATTCTTTGAGCAGCTCTACTGAATGGGGTATTTCTACCCTCCAACTACCAGTCTCAAAAGGTCCATAATTGCCACATTAAAGTCTTCCACAATAAAACCCAAGTTTATGAAGTGCTTTAGTATCCCTTTTTCAATGAAGGAGACATTTTACAATGTTTGTTTGTTTTTCACACAAAGCTGGCTGCCAAAAGATGTGCTCAATTGTGTGTGGTGTAAAAACATTTAAAATATTTGCCATAAGGACAGAAGGTGGCAACATTTTAATTGGAGCTTTAAAAGGTCAGAAAAGCTACAGCAAGGGACAAGACTGGCAAAGGCGGTGGCTTGCACACCAACACCACCAAGATTGCTTGGAAGGCCAAACAGGAAGGCACTCTCACAGTGACAGGATCTGAGTGGCAAGAAGCAGACAAGGCCTAAGAGTTCAATAGGTCAAGTCCATGGAAAGCAGTATTTTAAGTGAGGAGGACAGCTTAAAACTGTAGTCCAAATGAAGCAGTTCAGAAGAGGAAACAGGAATGTAGTGCATGGTCATGTTCCCTCCTTGTGAAAAGGTAGATGTCTCAACAGCCATGACTTAAGGAGGCTCTTGAAATAATCATGGCCTGTCTATACACGTTTGGGGGGCAGGGAGGTATTTAGAGTGGCTTTTAGGAGCCGCTCTAATCAAAATGCCCACATCTCATGTATTCAGTGTCTCGCGTTTCAAAATGGTGGCGGGGTGCTTTAACTAAAGCTCTTCGAACAAGCTTTACTTAAAGTGCCCCTGCCACTATTTTGAAATGTGGGACACTGAGCATACAAAATGCTGCAAGATGCTGGAGCATTCCTATCAAAACGCTCCAGCAGACTCGATTGAGTGTGCTCTGACACTTTCTAATGCGAATGTGCTGGAACAGGTGTATAGGCACCCTTGGTGTCCAAAGATGGAAACTGGATAACAAATGTAAGAGGAAATGGCAGTAGCAATGCACGTGGACACTACTGCAGAGCTGGCAAAAGGCAGGAGGTGCAAACGTCAAAAATATGGAAAATACTTCAGGCTAGGGGACGACACCAAAGGTACATGAGATAACATCCATCTCAGTCAACAAATGGCATGATACAGTGTTTGATGACATTATCCTAGGTCCAGAAGCACCATCTTAAGCACCTGTATATATCTGATATCTTCAGACAGAAACTTGATGAAGCACATCATTAAAAGTACTTTAATGAAATCACAGAATGACTGCAACCCCAGAGTCTGTTCTGCATCAAGAGTTATCAAAACTTAAATGTCATGAACCTCATTTTAATAGACAGATTGCCTCTCGCTTGCTTTCCCTCACACACTAATCACCTCCATTGCCTTCCAAAATAAGTGTCACAGAGCATCCCCATGGCAACAAAAACAGCTGCCTTACGTTATGCCTTAGTACAGTGCATTAAATCTTCCCTTTCCTTCCAGCCAACCCCATGTGATTCACCAGCTTTTTGCAGATCACTGGCAAACTCTGCAGACCACCATTTCAGAACAGTTTCATAGTTTGTGGGGTCGGAAGGGACCTGAACAGATCATGAAGTCCGACCCCCTGCCTAGACAGGAAAGAGTACTGGGGTCAAACGACCCCAGCAAGGTGTTCGTCTAGCCTCCTCTTAAAGACCCCCAGGGTAGGAGCCAGCACCACTTTGCTTGGAAGTTGGTTCCAGATCCTAGCCGCCCTGACTGTGAAGTAGCGCCTCCTGATGTCTAGCCTGAATCTACCCTCTGCCAGCTTGTGACCGTTGTTTCTAGT